TTTTTCTTTGTGTCACCTAATGTCCATGTTTTTGGCCACAGAGAAGAGTAGAGGAGCCTGGATACCTGGTAATGTCTGCAATAAGACCTTTTTACCACCTCTTACCTCTTCACCTGTACTATATGGTACTTCTGTAGTCAAAGTGTGTGTGCGAGCGTGCATGCCTGCGTGCATGTGTGTGTGTGTGTGTGTTTGCGTCACAGCTCTCAGAAAGGACCCTGGGACCCTCCTCGACAGTGAGAGCTTTTAGCTCTTCTTCGCTAATGTCCTGAATAATGGCATCTTGATGGAGAGAGAGTAGACGAAAAAAAGAAAGGAGAAAAGGGGAGAAAAAAGAGAGAGAAAAAGAGTAGAGAGGGAGGAGGGGGAGAGATGGAGAAAAAGACAGAAAGAGAAACCTCTGCATCCATCTGTCTTTACCTCCAGACCTCCATCAGTGGCAGGCCTGTCATTATTCCCTCTCTCTGCCTTTCTATTTTCATTATTCCCTTTTTGTCTCCTTTTTCAGCATGATGATGATCCACAGAGAGAAAACGCACATCTCAGTGTGTGTGTGTGTGTGTGTGTGTGTGTGTGTGTGTGTGTGGGTGTGCGTGTGCATGTCTTTCCACATGTAAGGAGTCCTTATGTGGCATGCCAACCTTTTAGCAAAGTGAACTTTTCGTGACATTGTGCCATTGTTAGGAAGAATATGCTGTTTTTAGCAACATTACCTGAAGCCACTACACAAGTCCCTGAAGATGTAGCATCACTAATGGCTGCTGGATATTGGCTGCAACAAAAACTTCAACTTAAGTCCAGTTAAAAAGTTTTCTGCTGATATGAAAAGTTTACTTTTTCCATCCACACTCCAGAGCTCAAGGTTTAATTTTTGCCTCTTGTAATGTGTCTTGGCTGTGATTTTACATGTTATATCACATATATGTATTATGTTATACTTAAGAGAAGCAAGGGTGTAGGTTTGCTCCATCATTGGGTGGGGGCACATATGAAATGGGGGATGATATTTTGAGTGACAACCATGTGATTTTCTGCATTCTGGGGATTTTTTCTGCAGCAGTTTTTGCCTTTGCTGCATCAGTTTATGGTGTAATTGTCATTTTTTCAAAAAGACTCACTTCTCCTTCACCCAGACTTCATCCTCAGTTGCCAACATTTAGATTTTCAGAATCAGAATTATTTTTAATGGCCAACAAATTAAGTAGACATTTGTGTAATCCGACTAAATTTCATGTACAAACACAGACGCAGACATACAGTTTAAACAAGGACAAAACTTGCTTCACTTCACTTTTAGATACACATCCCATTGACATATAGAGCTATATTAAGCCTGACTCTTTGTACCAAACAATCCTTGAGAGATGTCAAGGTGACGTCAATGAAGCTATGTGCATGTCTTCTTTAGTCTATGGTTGAAACAGAAAAGTGGAAGTGGAATAAAACAGTTTAAGACTTGCAAGACAAAACTGAACCTGTGGTAAATGACGGAAAATGCAACAAAGAGACTTTATCTGGTGTGCAATACTTATATCAAATGTCTGATTCAGTCACTTGTGTTAAAATGCTTTATAGTGCACCTTTAATCTGCCTGAGTTTCTACTGTTTAAAGTCTGTTTATTTAAAGTGGTTTTGGGTGAGATTCCCACAACCTGTAAATGGCGAAACAATGATGTGTAAAGTAGTGAAAGGCAGCCTAGAGTACGGTATACAGTAACATTTTGTTTGTCACTGCTTTCATTTGCATCATTAAATATTCACACTGATTACTTAAAAAATGACACATTTAAATCTGAGAATACTGCTTTCAATGTCAAAGCTATTTTCTGTGTTTTTTCCATCCTTTTCACTTATGGGAAAGATGTCACTGTGGATCAGAGTCAGCTGAATGTGAGGTATGTTTGTGCTGTTTGTTTGGATCCTCACTTTGGTTAAATCCTATGATATTAGCGATGGGCGGTTGATTAAAAACCTGGCTGTTGGTGTTTGGGTTGTAAGGTCACTCTGGGATGTCAGTGTTCAGCTGCACTGTGTAAACTGTAGGGACAGTTCGGGGTGAGTGGCCATGACCGACGGACACACACGAACAATCCCACACTTTCTCTTTCTCCCACAGTTTCCACCATCTCTTCACTCTGTGTGTTTCACCAATGCAAGCACACTGGATCAGTGTGTGTGTGTGTGTGTGTGTGTGTGTGTGTGTGCATGACTCTGTCTCATTCATTGCACACTCTCTCCCTCACACACACAAACACAAGTGGGGGTCATTGCCACATCAGGCAAGCAAACACAGGGAGGTCAAAGAGTTAAACATTAATACATTTATTCTCCACTTATGGCTGTGAAAGCAGCTGCTGCAATATTTTCAATCCTTGTCCATATAGTTTGTAAAAGCACATAATTATGATTCAAGTATTATCTACACTGTCTTTACAGATTGATTCTCATCCTGCATTAGCCATTGTGTAGTTGCAACTCTGTTTTTTTCCTAGTGTTAAAATGTAGCACCTGCCCTCCTACTCCTTTTGGCTTTTTTTTCTCTAAATTGCCTTGATTTCATTTTCAGCAGCGACACTGTCTCATACGTGAAATTGTCCCCTCCTCTTTAGATAGGACGATTCTTCTCGACATCCATACAGCGCGCACACACAACCACCCCCTCCTATTTTGGCCTCACAGCCATGATTTTTCACCCTATTTTTCCATAAGCTCAGGAGCTGAATTAATTGAGTAGAAGTTGGACTTTTGTCTTCTCTAAGCGTGCGCATTTCCTCCTCCTCCGCTGCAGATGCCCGGCAGCCCGCAGGTATTCAAAGAGGAAATATTCACATTCATTTCAAAGTTACCAAACTACAAAATGGCATAACCCAGGGCGCTGTCGCTCAAATAGGTCACAGCTTTTACAGCGCGTTGTTGAGTATGAAAAAAAAAAGTTTGTGTGTTGCATTGTGGTGGTTATCTGTGCCAAATAATTGGCAAGAGATCATTAGAAAAACTGGGCCTCTGCATGCAAGGGCAACCTGTGTAGCACGGCACACACATCTGTCTCCTCGGGGGAAATATGTGTTTTCATTTCTGGGTTTTAATATTTACCTTTTCTACAAATTAACCCGCACGGCACAGCTGAAGAGTACGTTAAATAATTGTACAACTTCGTGTAAATGCCGTTTAGTCCCGTGCGTAATTCAGTTAAGAGGAGATATGCTGGATAAGTGGCACTGCCGTCCACAGCTCTGATGCTGCTCGTTTGTTGGAGAGGGTCCGCTGATATTTCATAGTGAATAATACCGGATAATTCCGTATTCACTTTGAATGACCTCGTTTTAATCAGGAGGAACACAGTGCTTAAAGCAAACGGTATCACCGCAATAACTTTGGCCGCGCTTCATTTATAGCAAGGAACGTGTTTTTCATGAGGTGGCCCACGCAGACACGAAGCGCACTGACATACCTCTGCATACAGTGCACACACACTTACTGCAGGAGCCTACATATTTATTTTAATCTAGCAAGTCTCATAATCTAATTTTTAAAAATCCTAACAAAAATGTCGACATTGGACAATTCAACTTTTCTCACACATTTTCTTGCTTTTTTCTAGTTATAATGCGCCTCATATTTTTCCCTCAGAAACAGTTAATACACATAAATATAATTTCCCACCTGTTTTAAACACAGACAGTACTTGACACAAACGGATATTTTCCCCTTTGTGGTATTTTTTTTCTTATTAACTTCACTGAACAATCATTTTCGCTTCATCCATTTTTTCCTGTGTCTGTGTCATTTGGTTTTGCGCATCTATTGAGCGCCTGCTGTTTACACACGATGCGTCTTTCAGGACCAGGCTGAAATAATTCGCTTTTTTTCTACCTGCGCACTCACAACAGAAAGCGGTGAATCAGAGTCATCAGTGAGCCTTGATACCAAAGGAAAGTGTGTGTACCTCAGCATTACAATGCAACAAACACACAACTCCAAACCTTACAATTTTATTCAATTAGGCCAAACTACAATTAAAAGCTCAGAGTATTTCATAGAAAAGGAAAGCTGATATTTTTACGCAATAAATCAAATTTCGGTGCAGTATTTATTTCAGAGTCTTTAAGCGAAGCCTGCTTCTTAAAGGCCTCAGTGTACTGTCTGTTAAAATTCGCTTCAACGTGGGAAGAGTTTGCATATTGTGATTCTGTTTTATGTGTTAAGAAGGGCAGACTGCGGGCTATGGTGGGAGAAATTCCTCCAGCTCAAATCAAGCCTCCGCTCCGCTCTGCTGAAGTGTCCTTGAGCAAAACACTGACTCACGATCAGCTCCAGGGGCCTAAACTCTGATCTATGAAGAAGAGGGATGTTTCCCCATCAGAAGTGTCGGGTTATTCTACACAACTTTCTTTGATTGACAAGGAGCTCCGCGCAGAGGCGCACGGCTGTTTCCAAATACGCGCGCGCAATTACAGCTGCGTAAAGACACAAAGGTGCCTTTTTTATATAGTTTCTGACAGTGGAGAGGAATGAGAAGAAACAGATAAACGCAAAGTCTGTGTTTATTAAAAATAAATAAATAAATAGATGTGAGTGCATGCACATTAAAACACTATCATAGCAGTAACACAGTGAAATCTGAAAGTGGCTCTTCAGTCATACCTGACATCTGAAAGTTATTTTTACTGAATGACACAAGTAGGGAAGTACATGTTAAAATTACTGCTTTGATTTACTGCTGATGTGTTTGGATCACAAACTGGGGTATGACCTCACATCCATCATTACAAAACGCTTAAAAACAGATAACTAATGCCCTCAGTGTCCGCGTAAAGTTAAACTATGAGTTTATTCTGCGCATATTTCTGTAGTTTCTCCGCTAATGAGAAAGGTTGGTGAACCTGACTTTCAGTTTACCCTCCGCTTCACGCTCTGCTCCTCTCTCCTCCCTCTCCCTCTCCGCTCTGGCTGCGCGCTGTTTTCGGGGGGCTCCTTATAAATAAAATCCACCGTCCCTGGTTCCTCTTCCTTATTGGTCAGGTGGAGTCGTTACCTCACTCCGGGCCGGTGACGCAGCGTCTTCACGTATCCTTCATGTGCGTCTCTTCTTGTTTCTTATTGAGAGTCTTGCCATCGGTCAGAGGGAGAAAACGGAATTCGCGACGAGCCGAGAGTGCCGAACGGACCGGGTGCGCTCGATACTAAACACTTCCCATCCCGGGAGGAGAGCGGCGCACAAGAGCAGTCTCTCTCTTTCTCTCTTTTTCTCCGTGTCTCGCTCACTCTCTCTCTCTCGCACACACACACACACTTTCTCTATGAGTCTCTCTCCCTCGCGCTCCCTCCCGCACACACTCACGCCCGCGCGCGCGCGCGCTCTGCATACGTCTCCACTTTGCCGTAGTAAATTACGGCATTGATCTCAACGACGAGTGCGGATCTGTCTCTTGTGTTCGCCCTTTCTTCGACGGACCGACTTAGAGAAACGCTCGAAGGAGAAGTAAGTCCAAACACTTAGTATTTATCCCATTATTGTCACTCGTGGGCTTATATATTGCAGAGTGTATGTGTGTGTCCGTGTATGTGTGCGTGTGTATGTGTGTGATTTGTCGACCGCATCGTGTTCGCTGCAAGTTAACTTCCACTGTTAGTTCGCGGAGATCCATCCTCGTCACGTAGCGCACATCCAGATGGTTTAGTTGAATTTTGGACTGTTTTCTCAAACTGTTCTCACTCATGTTGACTTTACGCGCGTTAGAGACTGATTGTGATTGTTCCCGGTGTTATGAAGGAGACTGCGGGAACTAAATTATCTGACTGAAGTTTGATTTAAAATTTAAACGAGGTTTAGTTCGCTGCTGTGTTTTACTTTGTCAGTTTGTTGGTGTTGTTTTATATTCTACTTCACAAATTTAGGCAAATAAGAAACTCTAGATAAAATCTCCCTGCTTCCAAATCAAACTGTCAAGAATTTAAGTTTAATTTTATTGATATGTAATTAGTATCCAGCCTTGTTTCCAGGGACTTACTGGCACTTCACTGTCGCTAAAACTAAAGCAAACTGCTCTAGAAACAAGTGGGTTTATCTCTTTCTATTGGCACAGCTCTTCACCACTTTAATAAAACTTTACTGGCTTTACAATAAAATAATAGACGTGTTAAGATGGAGATGTGTGTGGCGTGTGACAGTCTCCTGTTGTAGCAGGGCTGCCGCTGTCGTGTCATTATCTCGGACTAATTGTTGTTTGGACTCCGACAAACATCTCTCTATATTTGCCGTCCATAAAGCTGTGCGTAAAACTAACAGCTTGTGTTTTCTGTCAGGCTGGACAGCGGTGCTCTGCGCTCACTGCGCTCACACAGCACAGTAATGATCCTCTACACACTTAAACTATCAATAATGTCCACGTTATTTGGTTCCTCTTAAAGATGCAGAAGGAAGTAAAAGGTGTGTAAATTAGGATCCTATCTGTGACAGAAAGTTAGATTTCCAAAAATTATTTTGGCCTCATTTACACTTTGTCTTTTTAGCTAACAGTATTTATAAAAGGCTAAATCATTTATAAAGTCATCAAGTAACAAGATGGTTATAGTGAGTTATAGTTGGCTTTACTCTGCACATCATTCATTCAACAAAGAGAAATTCATTTAGCCATGAGCCACCACATGCTTGCATCTCTTTTAAATGGAAATATGCCATTTACAGTCACTCATCAGCTACTTCCCATTTCAGTTCTCCATTGCAGAGCAAGTTATTCCTGCTCTTTAAATTCAGATTAAAACAAAAGTTTCTGTTTTGATACAGAAACTATGCACACACTCTCACATCCCCTTTCAGTGCTCACCTTTGAACATCACTGCAAAAGGTTGTTGAACTTTGTCTATTTTAACACCTCGTGATGTTACAAGAATATTTCTGAGTTGCACATTGATTTTTCTGAGATTAAATGTTAATAGAAGAGGTGATAAGGGGGTTTTACTAATGCAGACAGGAAACATGCAGTTTTACACTGATGCACCCTCAATTTGACCTCAGACCCAAATTTCAAAATAAACACGTTTTCAAGCTCTTTGGACCCCCTAATCTAAACTGTTTGTCTCTCACTCTCTACCTCCCCTTTCCTGTGCATGTGTGTGTGTGCCAGACCTCTGCCCAGTCTAATGCTGAGGAACCAATCACACAAACAGATAGTGTGTATGCATGTCCTGCATGTGCGAGTGTGTGTATCTGGGTCAGCGCCGTGCACTGTGCTGAGGGGCCGAGTGTGTTTTTCTGAACACCTCTCCTCGTCTGCAACACTGAAACTCGGAGGCACATTCAAACTAACCCTTTTCCCCCTGCTTGAAAACTATTTCATTTGGTAATGGCTCTGCAGGAACACAACAGTGTCCGCTTTGTCGGCTGCTGTGGGCTTTTTGCAAAAGCATCTCATTTGTGTCCCTGATTCCATCTGTGTGTGTGTGTGTGTGTGTGTGTGTGTGTGTGTGTTTGAGCATGTTTGCCTTTTCTCTTTATTTAAAATTGTTAAAATTGTAGCTACAGTTTTTTTGTTTAAATGTATTTCAACACTGGAATGAAAACGTCTCTCCTGCACAGCTCTAACAAACTGTTGTAGGAAGCTGCTTTAATTTGTGAAACATTTCCCTAGACTTCACCCTGAGAGCACTTGCAAAGCAGATGCAAACACGTTACATGGAAAACGTTGTCTGTGTGCATGTGTGTGAAGGCAAGCAGATATTCACTCCCACCTTTTTCCTGTTTTACACTGGTCGAGACTTATTTTTGGTGATGTTTTTTATTTTTTGTGTGTGTACGTCCATTTCTGTTGATCCCAAAATTAATGACAAAAGCCTTATTGAAAAGGTTTAAATCACCTGTGCAGTAAAATCAGCATTCGCCTGACAATGTAGTTCTTTAAGAAATCAGGTTTTGATAGTTTAAGTTAGGATGTCCTTCACTTTCTTGAGATTTTTTGCAAGTATTTCAGTCCAGTAATTCAGTTATAGGTGATGAAGCCACCATTGGGATACTTTCAAGTGTTTTCAGCGCATCAACAGAGAAACTTTACCCTTTGCAGTGCTTTCCCCACCACTGCAGGTGTCCTCCTCTCCACTTGCTGTACGACAGAAATGTAGTCACTCATGAAAGTAAGAAAAACCTAGCAGTCAATGTGCAGTATGTGGTCTGTAAGAATATAACTTTTTTAAAGTTCAATGACATCAAAATTTACAGCTTTTAAAAATGCACCAATTATTTCAAATCGTGTCAAGAAAAAAAAAACTCAAACAAAAAAACTCAGCTTTTGTCTTAAGAATGGAGTGAAATCCCTCTGACAATAAGACAGAGCCTGTCGATTGTTCACAGCTCCTCACAAGATGCAGAAATCAAGGTTACCCCTCAGGGGACGAGGAGGAAATGGGAAATGATGTTGGTTATTACAGGCAGGTGTTACTTCTCCGTGGGAGTATCTCCTTGAACTATTTTAAAAAGTGTGGTTTTTTTTCACACAGTGGTTCCCTTGGCTTTTAGTGTAGAAATGCACTGTAGGTTGTTTTTTTTTTAAATTTAATTAAATGATTGATATAAGTGGCTGCCCTACTCGCTTCTGTCAGGTGTGTTGTTAAGTTGTTTGAAATTTTTGAGACGGTTCACAGGTGGTGACTTTCTGTTAATTAATGTCTCCGCTCTTTAATAGTTCAAAAGGTAAAACATGAGATTTATTTTGAAAAGAAAACATGCACATTAACGATAATCATCTAAAGTCTTTTAATTTGGAGAGTTTATTCTATGAAAGAATTCTGACACCGTTATTAAAAACCACAAAACAATAAAAATCAAGTAAACTGATTTTAATTAAAATTATTAAGGTTTGCACGAGTATATCTCACAGTTTAAACTCTAAATTTAAAATTTGTCTTTCTGTACAGACCAGCTGTAATTTCAAAATCAAGAGTCATTACATGTAGCTACAAATTTCAATGATTGCGCCTCTCACCATAAAAATGTATGTAACATTTTGCCACATTACTAAGATCTAATTACTTTATTACTGTCTAAATGCTCCTTTCATTGTGATATTAAAAGGTTGAAATCATACCCATTTGTGTTTGTATGTCATTGACTAGGTAACTCACCCTGTGTGTGTCTGAGAGGACCCCTGGTCATGTCCGTTTAGCTCCCCTGCGTGATGCCTGATCATGACAGCACCACCCTCCTAACCAGACAGACCAAGCGCCGACGTGTCGACATCGGGGTGAAAAGGACTGTGGCTAGTGCGTTATTCAGCCGCGCCAGGGAGACCCTGCTCGATAGCATGAACCAATCACACGGCCCTGATCAGGACGGAGACTGCTCGTTGGTCAGCCACGGCCATGGCGGTGCCAACGGTGATGGAGAGAAGTCGAATGTTTTGAGGAAGTTGCTGAAGAGGGCCAACTCGTACGAAGACGCCATAATGCCTTTTCCTGGTGCTACCATTATCTCTCAGCTGCTAAAGAATAATATGGGGAAGAATGGAGGGAGTGACTCAGGCTTCCAGGTACACACACACATACAGGTAGTGGTAAAATGTTCAGTCTGTTAATCAGTGAACTGATTTCAGTTTTAATAATCAATTCATGTTTTTTAGTCATTAGTTTATTGAATTGAATTTGCATTTTCATTTTATCTTTCTAATCAGCCAAACAAACAAGCCATTAAACTTCAATCCTCGTTCAGCGATCCACTAAATCATTTGTTAACTGTTTATTAATTCGGTCGTCCTTTCTTCCATCACAGGGGAGTGGAGCTCTGTCCAGTGGAGGCTCAGAGATCCATGCCGAGGATGCCTGCAGCAACTCCTCCCGCGACCGGGACAGCCCGTCTGACTGCCTCTCACCTGGGCCTCCTCTTCCTCCTCCATCTTCCTCCTCCTCCTTCGGGCGACCACCACCTCCTTCAAGCCTCAACTCTCACGCTCCCTCTCAGCCCCTCTCCCTCTCCACTTTCGACTTAGACAGGCTGTCGGATGAGCATCTCCGTGCCAAGCGCGCTCGCGTGGAAAACATCATCCGCGGCATGAGTCACTCACCACTGGTCCGGCCCAATGGCGACCACAACCAAGAAAGCACCCGCGAAAATGAGAATTGCATCAACAACAGCAACAGCGGTAATGACCACCGAAGAGACGGCAATAGCCACAACACCAGCAGCCACAACCACAGCCGGAGTGACGGCCCCTCTTCCCTCCTGAGCTCTCCAGGTTCGCGGGGCGGTGGGGTCAGTGTTGGCGAGGTTTACAGGGAGAATAAGAGAAAGCAGCGCCTGCCACAGCAGCAGCACAGCTTCACCCAGCTGGTTTGTTCCAGGAAGGAGCAGAGACAGGAAGAGAGACGGCAGCTCAAACTGCAACTGGAGGACATGCAGGTTGGTAGAGGACGTTAAGAGCGCACCTTTTTGTGTGGACATTTGCAGCTAAAATGCACCACAAACACCAGCCGCTCATTCCCCTTTATAAATATATATCTTTCAGTTTGAAAATGGGGGTTGATGATGCACCGAGACAGATGCAAGAGCGGATACAGAAAGTAATTGATTCTGGTGTTTTGGTGGCGTAGATGCACACTAACAAAATGGTTTGACAAACAGAGCTTACTTTATAAAACCATGTCTGTCCACCGAGTGGGTCACATATAATCAGAGACATACTGTACTGCCGTCATTTTTCAGGTAACAGGTGACCTTTGGGTTCAGAAAACATCCTCTTTAACATTCTCTTTTCTCTGTTGTTCAGAAACAGTTGCGCCAACTCCAGGAAAAGTTCTACCAGATCTACGACTCAGAGACAGAGGAAGAGGAAGACAACGGCGAGAGTGGAGAGGCCGACCGAGGTGGAGAAAGAGAGGAGGATGGCAACTTGTCAGAGGACAGTATCCGCTCTGACGGCCTGGAGGAGAGGCACAGAGACAGAGGGCGGCACAGCAATGACGACCTGTCTGAGCTGGACCCAGGCCTGTTCCTGGACCGGGCCCGAGCCCTCCTCCGAGAACAGGCCCTGATAGATGGAGAAATGGAGGAGGATGTGGATGGCAGGGAGGAGGAGGAGAGGAATGTAGAAAGGGTGATGAAGAGGAGAGGAGGAGCAGCAGGAGGAGGTGGAGGAAGGCAGTTAGCAGAAACACTGAAGCAGGAGCTGAACTGTGCCGTGTCGCAGGTCGTTGACACTGTCGTTAAGGGCTTCTCCTCGCCCAAGCAGGCCGTCAGTCACCATCATGGCTGCCACAGCAGCACACCAGCTGCCCCCTCCTCTTCCTCCAACTCATCCTCTTCCTGCCCGCCGCCTTTCGGCCCCCTCCCATCCCTCACCCCGGACTCGCGCTTTGGTGGTGGTGGCCTGGCCCTCAGTATGAACGGGGATGGCAGTCCAACCCCGAACTACCACTCCTCCAACCAGAGGCTGCATTGCTTTGGCGATGTAATCGTCCCAAGCCCGCTTGATTCATTTGGTGGTTTGAGTGGCAGACTGAGCAGTGTGCCAACGCCCAACGACCAAACAGAGGCACTGCCGCTGGTGGTGCGCAAAAGCGGCGGAGGTGGTGGTGGAGAGAACACTCACCCTTCTCTTCCTCCTCCTCCTCACCATCCCTCCCTCCACCCCTCTCCCCTTACAGCCTCACTCGGGTTTAGCCCTCCATCATTTCGCCACCCATTCCCTCTTCCCCTCATGGGTTACCCCTTCCAGACCCCCCTTTCGCACGGGGGTGGAGCCAGCTACCCTCCAGGGCCCAAGGACCATCATCGGTCCTCCCCCGATTCCATGGACATGACCCGGGACACTGTCAGCCTCAGAACCAAAATGACATCCCTTGGCGGGGGCCATCTCAGTCACCACCACCACAGGCAGAGCTCACCGGGCCAACATGGGCCTGAGGGTCTGTCCCTGTCCCTCATCAAGTCTGAGTGTGGAGACCTGCAAGACATGGCCGACATATCGCCCTACTCAGGCAGCACCGTATCTTTAATACTGTACCTGTGTGTGTGAGAGTGAGTGTGTGTTTCCTTACTTCTACAAGTGCGTTAAACCTTGAGAATGGTGGTTATCTTCACCAATTCAAATGTTTAGTGTTGGGTTAGGTTTGGGGCTCAGAGGGAAGATTAGAATAAAAGGAGAATCAGCAGAGTCAACGCTGTTATTATGTACACTTGAATATTTGAGTGCGCGGTTGATGGACACTTCAGTCTCACATTGCAGAGCACTATGGAAATGGATGCGTTTCACAGGTGGATGATAGAGAGAAGGCCCCAAGAACATTAACACATATAAAAGCAGGGATGCACCGATTGAATTTCTGGGCTGATACAAATGCCGGAATTTAAAATAACAATTTGGCCAACAGACAATACAGATGTTGTTGTTTTTATCATTCTTCCTTTTGGTCCAAGGGAAACAAAGAAATCTTCATTATCAAAAATAACTGGACTGTTTTAAAGTCATTCTCATTATGTTTGATTAAGCACAAATTCAATCATATAAATTTATTAAACAACCTTTAAAATAACCTTTCACATAAAGAAATGCCTCAAAACCTTTTTTTAAACTATTTATAAAAATAATAATTCCCTCTGTAATATCTATTTCGTATTGCTGTGAAAACATCAAGAAATTTTTCCAGTACACAACTGTATTTATTCAAGTTTCTCGGCAAAAACTAAAGTTGACAAGATTAAAATTGAACACATCTTGATATCACTATAATTTACATTCGTCAGACACTCATTTTTACTGAGCAGAGCTTGAATGCATCATCATGTAATTTAATGCAACCTCCGCAGCTAGCGTTACCTAGCTCTCCTGCCGATTTCAACAGAAATTCGTATCAAGCGATACTGATGTTTGGCTGATGAATCGGTGCATCCCTACATAAAAGTATTTCAGTCTTTCCTCTTGTTAATTTTAAAATATATTTAACATTAGTAGATTATACATGCTTTTAGAGCAGGACAATATAGCCTAAAATATGCAGTATATAATGATACATTTTCACATTCGCTGTAATGATACCCTCTTTTTTAAAACATCAGCACATGATATTTCCTTCCTCCTGTTGGAGCATTTGACTTATGTGACCTAACTAATTAAATCCAGATTTAGAAACCATATAAAAGAAGCATGTAGTGAGGAATTGGGAGGCATAGATGTCAGTACATGTTTCGCTGAGCATGTTAAAAGCTATGTAGTAAAAGAGTTTATTAGTAATATAAAAACATCCTTTTTTGTTTGTGCAGTTGGAAAGAGTTCATATTGGCAAAGATTTTTTTTTTTACAAGAGTCACATTTTTAACGCAGTCAAACACAGCGGCAGCAGGCCGTAGTCAAAGAAAGTCTTTAATATCCATTAATCTGCATTAATTGGTTCCTGGTCTAACCCTCTTGTTTCCTCGCTGAGTTTGGGAGATGAAACAGGCCGCGATGGTTCTTGCAAGGGGGGAAGATTAAACAGGTCGCACACTGCTCTCTCAAGCTCTTTTAAGTCTTTGCAGCAGGTTGTGGTGTTTAAAGGTGCTGAGAAAGGCTAGTGAGCTCCCTCTTCAACACACACACACACACACACACACACACACACACACACACACACACACACACACACTGTCTGAGACACTCTTGTGCTGTTAGGTTCTCTTTCATCACAAAGACTTTGTACATAAACGCTCAAAGCAAATCATATTTCACTGTGTTCATGTACGTGTGTGTGGGTGTGGAGTAAGACCTTGTTCATAGGAGCTCAAAGCTAATCATATTTCAAAGAGCAGGGGAGAGGAACAGGTGAATGCTTGGCCTTATTGATGGAAGCTTTCTGAATGTGTGCGTGTGTGTGTTTGTGTGTATGTGTGTGGGTACACATGAGGTGAATATCTAAAATGTCCACATTGGTTTCCTCTTTACAGTTTAAGCGAGTTGTCTCCCTTCCTGACGTTGTCGATCTCTTCTCGCTTTCATTTGTTGGCCTTCGCTCACAGTTGCTTGGCAGCTGTGTGTGTTTCGCTACCTTTCACAGTGCGCACACACACACACACACACACACACACACACACACACACAGACTCGTGCACACACAAACACACTCTCCCTTTCATGGTGTGTGCATGTGGACAGGTGTTTGCAGGTAGCTGTTTATCTTTTCATGCCTAATCTTTCATATGGAGAGGGCTCTCCCGGCCACTCGGCATGCACACACTTTGGCTCACACTCGCACGCAAACAGCCCCACGAGCGCCCACGTGCACGCTTGAAGAACAAAGTGAAAAGAAAAATAAGACTTTGAACCTGACAAATAGGAACTCCTTGCAGCTGTGATGAGGATGTGATCACAGTGTTGTCTTCAAAGCCAATTTAGATGTTGCTTTAATTAAAAAAAGAAATATTTGACACGTCTCTTGATCCTACTGAGCTGTTTCATTCCAAAATGCTCCTCCATTCATTTGGAAGAAAAAAAAGTCTTTGAAATTGGATATTAGTATTTCAAAGATATTGACCACCCTGCTACCCTGCCTTTTTTATTTTGTACGTTAAAAAAAAAAATCTAAAATTGTTGTTTTTTTAATTTAGAAAGAAAACAATTTTGATAACTGAAATCCCTCAGCACAAGCTAACTCATTTTTGTAAGAAATGTATCATTTGCCACTATGAATTCAGTAAATTCATTCATTAATATTATTGTATGATGACTTCTGAACAAAGTAGAAAGATACTGCTTGTCCTACAATGATGTCGATGGACAAAACATAGACTGACAACAATTTTGATTATCAGTTGAATTAATCAAATTATTCATCAAATGGAAAGCTGCTGCTGATTTTCCTTGATTTATGTCACTGAAAATGAAATATCTTCGGCTTTTGCAGTGTTGGTCTGAGAAAACGAATAATTTGAGGTGGTCAACTTGGGCTCTAAGAGACTGTGACAGACTTTTATTTTGCTATTTTATGACATTTTAGGGACTGATTTAATTGAAAAGATGATCGACTTGCATCCTGTTATCTTAATTACACGTTTATGACATGGGCATGTTTGTGCGTTTAGTTGAGCTGCAATGATTAGTCGTTTCAGCAGAAAATGAGTTGCAAACTACTTACAAGGAAACTTGAAATGATTAATGTCATGACAGTGACAAAATACAGTTTTACTGCACTAACTGCATTACTAGATTAACCTAATTTTCTTAATGAAATGTAGGATATATTATATTGTTAAATCCAAACACTCTGAAGCTTTCTTGGCATCAACTATGTCTTACGTGTAGCTTAAGCTCTCGCTAATATGCCAAACGCCATTGCTATTTTTGCACATTTTGCATTAACCTTGTTGTTTCCTGTCCTGCTACTTGTGAGGAAAGGGATCCTTTTACCAAAAATGAAATTTATGCAATTTTTGTTTGAACTTCTCTTCATTCTCAGCCTGTCTTTATTCTTGTTTTGTGTCTTTCTCTGCCTCTAGTTTAAGAAGTGCATCCTTGTTTGATTTGCATGGCGGGGATAAAATGGTGACGGCATTGTCGGTGGATTTAAGGCCTCAAGAAAGCCTGGCAGTTAGGTTAAGGTGTTTTGCATCGATCATAGTTCACCTGAGAGGCACTCGCACACACACAAAAACAGTCACACACACACACACTCTCTCAGGTCTGTGTATCTTTAATCCTTTGTACAGAGCTGAGCAGATGTCCCCCATTCATTTATGAATTTATCCCCCCTCCCCTCTCTCCCCCTCCCAATCCACCCACCCATTCACACACACACACACACACACACACACACGCACACGCACACGCACACGCACCTGGCAGCAAGGTCAAGTTACAGCTGATACAGTGAGCCCTGCACAAAACACATACACACACACACACACACACACTCACAGATGCATTCACAGATGTGCATCAGGATGAACACCACACACACAACAATGGGAAAGAAGCAGGAGGAGGAGTGGAAGAAAAAGAACATCAGTTGTGTTGTTTATTCACTGACTCACTTTAGCTAATATCACACGCACATACACATGCACAACGTCATTTGCTTATTTTCATTATGACATAGCTTCAGACTGTTTACTCTGAGTCATGCTCATGTGGTTTTAGTTTGTGTGTGTCCGTAGAAAACAACACAGGGAGCAACAAGTGAACACAATGTATGATCTGCCCTGTACGCACGGACAGTTGACAGGTTGGTATGAATGTTAACTAGGTGATGGTGTTGTTGTCCGGTGACTTGACGTATCTGCTGCTAAATGAATGATGGATGATGATACTGCTCACCTCCCGCGGCAGTTATTGAGACAAAATGTTGTGTTGTGACACCATGGTCATTTGTGACATGTAGTCAGATTACTTTTTGTGATACAATTATTTAGAATCTTGGGAACTTGGGGACTTTTTAAGATTTTTTTAATGTCACTTGGCAGGAAATTCAAGACTAATTTTTGCACCAAATTTTATGGAACCAACATAGGGTTAGGGGCAATTTTTTTTAACATTTCAAATGTTAAATATGACATAAACATTACTTTTCTTGTGTCATGGCGGAGACAAGGGTAGAACAGAAGTGGGGAAATACCTGCTGTTTGTTAGTGAGTTGCGTTGGCGATTGTGTGTTTCTTGCTCTGCATGTGGGATTCAACTGCCTTAATTACTGTTGTGCCGAGCTGGAAAAACTTTTTGCATAAAATACACTGAGTCTCTTATGCATTGCCTTTTACTGGTTTCAGGCATGCCGGGCCATTTTGGTTAAATGGCCAACTTTGGTTGAACGCTCACTTCCCTGTGTCGTCTATTTAATAAGACTGATTTTAAGACACATTAATAGCAGTTAAGGCCTTACTTTTAGATTAATTAATGCCTTTAAAACTTTCTACAGATCAGCAGGAACACACTGTTTTAATTTTTTTCAAAGTTTCCTTTTTGTTAGCACATTTACGTTTTAGGACAACATTAAAAATACAGTAAACAAACTAACCCCACAACTGGTAACTGGTAAACCACACCCAAGTCCCACCAGCTAATAGACAGTTACAATTTCTTGAATATCCTTGTTTCCATGTAGATAATGGATTTGAGTATAAAATGAAACATTTATAGTGAATAAATAATATAATAATAAAATTTCCTCCTCTGCTTCCTGATGCTGCTGCTTCTCTCTTTTTCTTTACACTTTATTCACTTCGGTTCTCTCCCTCTTTTCCCGATGGCTGATGCCACTCTGTCCCTCTCTCTCTGTACCTCTTTCCAGCCATATAGGGCCCCTGGGGTTTCTGAATGTGTATGTGTGTGTGTGTATGAGTGTGTGTTTGTCTGTGTGCTAATTGACCTTGCAGGGGGTTCCATTGATTGCCTCATCTTCTCTGATAGATTATAGGGCTGTTAATGTGGTGGGGAAATGGCAACGTGGTGGGGCACAGCTGTTGCCACACACACACACACACACACACACACACACACACACACACACACACTATGTGCCCCTGCAACCAGGGCCTCTACAATTATTATTTTCCTTGTTGAGACAGTGGGATAGACACTGGGGCTGCAGAGGCGGCGAGATGCAGGAGTGAATGTGGGATCTGATCCAAAGCCAGCAGGTGCTCGTGTTTGCTTTTGCTTTGGATGTAAAATGAGAACTGGGTTTCTCTTGTTGTATCTCTGAATTTTCTCTGGTTTTAACAGTAGTTTCATCACCCTCCACTTTTACTGGAGTGGTCACTTCTCGCTGTGACATGTGAGAAATAGAAAAGAAAAATTACTTAGTATACTGCACTAATCTATGATGCCTCATATAGGCAGAGCCGGAGGAGGGGGGTAATATTCAGAGAAAAAAAACTTGCGAGATCAAAGTCGTAAATTTACAAGAAAAAAAAAACAAAACTTTAATATTCTCTGACATTACAAAGTCATTCATTTGGTTGGGTCTAGCACAGGACTTTGACCTAGGAGACTGGGGTTTGTGTCCTGTGTGAGTCAACGTTGGCTTATTAGTTTTTAGGATGTGTAAAACTGCTGACTGCACACTGTGGAAATAAAGGTTAGCGGAATAGCTGAAACGTGTTGTTCTTTATAATGCCATATTTTGACGTTGAGAGACTACCCAGGAAACGTCCAGCCAAGCCATGTAACATCTGACGTCACCAAAACTTTCAGAATTTTTTAACCATATCAAGACGTCTTGATTGGACATTTAAACAACGTTTTTCAACGTGGCAACGTGGCGGCATCTGTCTTGTACTGAGGTTGATTCAACCTCGCAAAGTGAAGTGATGAGTTTCCTCGACAAGAAAAAGTTTAGTTTTTTTTTCTCGCTTATTCATGACTTTAATCTGGGACACTCTGAGCTTCTGATTAGCTTGAGTTTCTGATCAGCTTTTCTTTTCTTTTTGATAACCTGACACTTTAGCATATCACCAAACACTCACAGGAAAACAGCCATCTCTCAGTGGACCTAATGGTACTTCCATATGGTTCTTCTAGCATTTTGCTCATAGGTTGAGCGAAGCTATCTTGAGCTATCTGACACTTTCTCTCAGCTCAAATCAATGTTGTCTGAGTCCTGCCAGAGGGTTATACTCAGATTGTAAGATGACAGTTGGAGATTTGGTGTCACCATAGCTCCTCACTAGTAATGCAGAACTGCTTTAGAGAAGCTGCATGCACCATTCTTTGCAGCATATAACAGGTGTGGTTGTTGCTGTGGTGCAGCCAACATAACAGATTCTCATTCCAAAATATCACATTAAGCGATGCTACAAATGACGCTGATGACAATGTGCACTGTCTGAGAGAAAACAGAACATTTTTTGAGGCTTTACTGACTTGAGGTCCTCTAAAATTTCCCTCTGCAGTGTTCCTCCAAAGTTTTTTGTGAAACAACTGCTTGCTGTTTCCTTAACATTTCCTCATTCAGATTCAGGAGGGCTTGTCTCCCAACCACCTGAAGAAGGCCAAGCTGATGTTCTTCTACACCCGCTACCCTTCCTCCAACATGCTCAAAATATTCTTCTCAGATGTCAAGGTAAGACTTTGCCCTGTCTTTTTCTTCTTTTTAGTGTTTCTCCTGTTTATAGTCTTTTGTAAACCTATTATCACTGTTCTCTCCAGATTCTGGCTTTCTTTTTATACTCCGTCTTTTTTTACTTATCTTTACTGATATTTTTTGCATAATTTCCAGTGAACCATTCGGCTCGACTCGATTTAACTAATTTTCGGTATCAGGTCCTTTTTTTTCTATTTAGTTTTCCATTGCAGTTAGTACCCCCTCAGTGTAGGTGAGACTCTCAGCTGACTACGATAGTGACACTGCATGAAACTGCTGTGACATCACTTTCAACTCAACACTTGCTGGATCCTTTTATCTATAGTTACAGTCGCTATTGACGGTAGTTTGGCTTTAAGAATGGCAGATTTGTGATGTCCGTGTTGTGCAAATGATGATTTTAGTGACTATTCTGGCTGACAAATCAGTCAATGGAGTGCATTGTTTTAACTGCCGTCTACTATCAGCTCAGCTCGCTTGGAACCTTGATTGGCTAATAGAAAACCAAAAAAAAAAGTGAGTCGAGTTGAGTAGGGCCGTGCCGTACAGTGGAAATGTGGTGCTTGTTTTCATCTTGAATATAATGTAATTATCTCTCCATTGATTATAGTAGATGAAGAGGTTTTTAGGAGTAAGATTAAAACTATAAAAGACAGCTTAAACTGGATATACTCTGTACAGAAAATGCTTAAACTATTTTCTTGTTTACTGGACACACTTATCATTTGATCATGCCAGGACAAATGATAAGAGTGTTAAGAGAGCTCTGGGTGATAAGATTTTGCTCTTTGATGATCAAAACTAGATACAGAAAAGGTCAGGTTTGTATTATGATTACAACTGAGCCAGGTTGAGATCAAATCCACAGTGGGCATGTGCACTATACAGTTGTAAGGAGATCGGACAGAGAGCAGGGTAAAGTGACTCATTCCTTGACTTGTATAGACAAGAGATATGAAAAGCACTGCAGTCAGTGTGGGGCCGAGATTGGACATAAAACAATGGGAATTCCAAGGTATCTTTGGAATCAAAAATCAGTGACAGATGGGGCAGATGAGTTGTTGTAAACAGGTATGTGTCTTTGTGTAAAGATATGATCATGAGTGTTTTCTAATCTCATTCCCCAACAACTTTCACCATCACATATCCTCACACTCGTCTTTTTGTGATTTTTGTGCATTTTGTTGTCTGATATTTTTCTGTTTTCGTATTATTCCGTTACTCTGTATATATGTGTGTGTCTGTTACCCTATAACGCAGATGGGTGCTCCAGTCTGTCACGTCTTTGTAGCATAATTAGAGTTTCTGGCCTTAATCGACCTGGGGTTAGAGGGGGGGTGTTAACGCCCACTTTCCCTCTCTCTCACACACACACACACACACACACACACACACACACACACACACATTCCCGACCTCAACCTCTATTTCCCTCTCACCCAAAACACACACACATGCAACAACTATTTCACTCTCACTCTCGCTCACATAAAATAAGAAGTTGAACTTTTCTTTAAAACACTGAAACCAGACAAGTAATGTCACCATGAGCATTTGACAGATGACAGGATGCACAGGTAGTGAGGAAGAAAAAGGACAATGAAATAAAATCAGATGAAGAACGGTAAGACAAGAAAAATAAGTTGGAAGGAAAAAGGAGATGATGGAAAGTATATGTGCGTGTGTGTGTGTGTGTGTGTGTGTGTGTTTGTGTGTTTCACTGGGTTTTGAGAAGATGACAGCGGGAGCAAAGGGAGGGGCTGACAAACAAATGAAAGGGATGACAACAGAACAACAGCTTTATAACAAAGGCGCTGATTGTTTTGTGTTTACAGGCTGCTACGCGTTTTGCAAAGGAGCATAAGGCTCCTCGACAGATTCAGGACGCTGTATTCAAATGAGCAGCCACACACACACACACACACACACACACACACACACACACCAGCTGCCCTTTGGCTCATATCTGTGGTGACCACTTCCTCGTGGCAGTGCCACATCCTCATCGGCTGCCATGGCAACAAGGGTCGCTGGGACACCAGGTTGCTAGGCAAACACAAGGTTGCTAAGCCTACCTGCTCCCAGTACATGCGAGTGAGAGTCTGATTTGTCATTAACTGGGAGTCCATTAATGGAAACTGGTATCACAGTGCTCAGTTACACGTTTAGTGTCACGGTTTAGTGTTACTGAGAAAATAAAACCGGAAAATGCTTATGAAAAAACCAACATGTTTTAAAACTTTTTAATATCCCCAAAAGTCACATTTCATTGCGTAAAATTACAATTTAAGTAAAAGTGCCAAAAATGAGTGATAGAGGTGTAAATTCGTCATGATGAACAATTTGACATTTGCTGATATGACAAAGTCTGTCACAGTACGATTTTGATTCAATTCAATTTTGGTGCCCAGGACTGATATGAGATGGTTTCAGTAAATATCCTCATCGTCCTTTTTTGGCTGCTAGGATTATTTGCCTGCCTGTTGTTTAGGAAGGAGGTGTGGTTGGACGGAAATGGTAACGCAGATGTGCCATAGCAATTTCAAAATAAAGCTGTATCATAAAGTTTGATATGAATCAATTTTTTTAACTTTGCATGGATGATATTCAATCATTGATCATTGAATCTATATTTATCCAGACCAATGAATCGTTACACCCTTAATAACTGACCGTGATGATCCTCAAGATGTTGTAAATAAATTAAATCTGAGACACTGTCAAATGGAAACCTTAAAGGTCTCCAAGAATGTCGCCACAAAATTACACACTGCATCATCTTCAGCCTAAATACGATATAATACATGCATGCTGCACAGTGCTTCTCATCCTGGAAGAGCTTCAAGCTTCAAATTGCATTTGACTTTTCTCTGTGTTACACCTACACCATTTTGAAAGCAATGAATGTGCTGAATAAATGAAGTAAGTGGTTGTACATTTATGCTGGCATTCCTTTCAAATTTGCAGGCTTCACTTTTTCTGAAAACCTCTGAGCCAAAGACTGTAAATGAATGAACATCTCCCAACATCTCAATGTCAAGATTAGTAGTGATTTAAAACTGATACGTGCTGACATTGAACATTTTGCATAATCAGCTTACTTATCACGCCTAAGTCATACTTTAAATTATCTGAGGAAAGATGCTTAAGATGTACGTGGCCAAATAAACAGTGGCTTTAGGGTTTAATTTGGAAAATTGATGAATTAGGACTAATGAGTTAATACATAGGTTCAGTTTATGAGTTTATCTCTTGGAGATTAATTGTTTTAAAGCTAATATCAATCTAATCTCCAATCTGTGGGTTTATCTCCAAATTGATATTCAATTAATCTCCCTCATCTCAATAAACATGGATTTAGATAAGAAGATATCTGGCCTGAAACTTTGCTCAGCAGATGGACAGTATTACAGGCTCGACCTGTAAATGAAGTCACAGCCACACACAGCGGGATTTATCGGAATGAAAACATTTTTCTATTGGAATTTAGCTTTAAGGACTGACAGTCACTGTGTGGCAGATAAACACAAGACCATGAAAACCAGACGCACTTTCTTTAAGTTTAGTTACAAGTTACAATCCATAAGATTAGAGTGATGCAGCTCTGTTATGAGGTTTGAGGAGTGAGGAGAGTGAACAGTAAAAGTCTAATATCAGTTAGATAAAATAAAAAACAGTAACGCTGAATTTTGAGTATAGATTATTTTGTATGAATCCCTTGTGCATAAGAAGGCCATTTGAATCCAGCATGGGAATGGCAGACCCCGCCACTAACAATGAAAACAGCTACATAGTAAACTAATGTAACTTAATTTAAATATTGCAGAAAAAATGCAGACAAATAGAATAAAATACAAGGTTTGATTGCATGAAAATCATAAAGATTATAAAATAAAAAATTTTTTTTCTGAAAGTGAGCAAATCTCCTAAAATAAAATACAAAAGCAACAATTCATCACTGGCTGGCTGTCCCTCATTACTTGAAACCTTTCTTACTGTATATGCATACCGTATATTCTGCCCCAAACCCAACCGTCCCTACTGACTGAGTCACAAACGTAAAGTTTTTTTTTGTTGTTGTTTTAAATCTTAAGTAATTTTCATAAACAGCTGTTGTTTTAGCAAACGTTACAAGAAAAAGTGCAGTTTTGGAGGGACTATTTTCACATGCGGTGGAATACACATTTTGTGCTTTTGTGGGCATTTACAGCATGACTGTGCATGTGTGATTGACTTAAAATTAACTACAGTGTGTGTGTTCCTGGTAATAAAGGAACATGTCACCCAGTGCAACAGCGTGGCTCATTGATATGTTTTTTTGGACAACAATGCAGCTCTATGGCACAGAGGAATATCAGCCTTGCAATACTTATTAGGAGCTCAATGTTGGTTTTGTTCTTTTCATGGGATTTGTTCACAATAAGAAGAATATATCTAGAGTCTTTAAGAAAATTACAGTTACTTATTATTCACATTTTATGCAAATATTGGTTTATATTAAAATTTAGTTTTAATTGACTCGTAATCCCAGTTAATCCACCATATTTATCTGTGGGAGGAAAATGAATCATGGATAATCCTATTTGTGATGAGCGAGGCTGTTCTTTTCAAGGCTTTGGTTGTGTGTGTGTGTCTGTGTGTGTGTGTGTGTGTGTGTGTGTGTGTGTGTAGGACTGAGTAGAAGAGCGCACCCTGTTGCTGTCTGTCTCTGTATGTGTGTGTGTGTCTTGTTTCATTGTCCTATTGCATTCATTACCTTCATCATTACCATATTTCCAAAATCCGGGTCAATGTCTCTTTCTCTTTCTCTTTCTCACCCTCTCTCTTACTCCTGCTCCCCCTCCTCCCCCCTTCTTCCCTGGGAACAATAAGTAGCATGTGTTAGAAGGATCAGGCAGATTCACTGTAAGGGAATTAGGGCCCTGAATGGCTTCCCCTAATTGGACTTGAATGGACTTTGTCTATGGGAAACTGGTTCT